CCTGAGATGGCAGGAGGCGGCTTGATGTGGAGGAGTGTGAACGTGCGTGTGTGTGGAAGCCCAGGGTGCTCCAGAAGGGAGGCCCCAGGAGATAACATTCAGGTCCTTACTTACAAAGGACACGTATGCAGAACCGAATTCTCTACAATGCAGCCCTTCATCTGACAGCCCTGCACGGAAAAGGAGAGGCAGAGAACCATGCGGACCTCGGCGTGAGCTCTGGATAAAATGGCATTCTACTTGCTGCATAGGAGGCTGAAGGAAAAGCAGAATATAAAATAAAACGAGGAGCCCACATTTCAAAGAGGAGGAATGCCTATGAGATTTTTTAAGTCAGTTGATAACTTTCAAAATAAAAAATATATAGCTAGGAAGCTAAAATTTAAAAAGTAAAACCACGGAAATAATGCTGAAGTTGCTATTAATTCACCGTCATTTATAACCGGAAGTGCTCACCCTGTTTTCGAGGTGACCCAAAATGGCTGGGAAGAAACCATCTGCTAATCGATAGAGCACCTGATTAGCATATCTGATCCTGCCAGTGTAAGAGACAGCAATGAATAGGGCATTTCTTCAAAAGGTTGTTCCTTCACAGTAACACCTGCGATCACAGATGAAAATAACAACAAAAATATTTTATACCCATGGTGGGAGGAATCGTCAGGCAGTGTTTTGATCCATCTTGGCCAATCTCTGGCTAAGGATCGTAGAGACTTTCTTCTAAGGTGTTATCCTACTCAGAGGGATCAGCTCTCCAAGAGATCAAACAACAGCTTGGTAAACCCAATTTCCTTCACAGAGGCCTTAGAACTCAGCCAGTAATCTCAGCAATAATTCTCGGGCATTTCTCACTCTCCCTTTTGGCACTTTCAGGAGCCAAAAGGAGATAACGAAGAAGCCTCAAGGACATAAACATGTGCTGGATTTCACTAAACCACTGCCCTTGCAGACACTCAACATCAGGTATGTGAAAGAGAAGGTGAGCAACCCGCCCCCGTGGAAGCCAGGTTGGTGGGCTGCTCTATCCCATGACAACTGCTACAACTTCCACCTCTCACGAGGTAACTGCAAATCCAAGCCTTCCACGTCGATATAACGGAATACTAGGCCATTAAAAAATTCCAGTTTTAAATGAAAAAAATAAAAACTACACACGGGTGGGAACAATACACACTCCCATTATGTTAAATATATAAATTATATATACACATACACGCGTATGAAAACGATAAACAGACACGCAAGCTTGCACGTGCAGCTTGTAATCAATCCTGGGATAACAAAAAGAAGACCCTACAGGTTGGGATTGGAATATATTCGTTGAATACGTTTTGTCCTCTAAAAATGTTTACCGTTTACCTGCATAAAGGTCAATGTTATTTTAAAGAAATCCTTATCTCTGGAAATTTAATACAAGCTACATATTTGTTAGCAGCGCACTATGCAGGAAGTTGGGCCCACTGCGCTGCATACAACGTGAGGGACACTCTTCAGTCAATCTGTCTTGTCACTGCTTCTCTCTCTCTCCCCCTCTCTTCCCCCCTCCCTCCCTCCCCTTCACTGCCCTTTCTGTCTTTCTCCCTCTTTACGTTACACAGTTTAATTCTACTGGCATTTCTGGTTTTCTCCTGTTCAAGTCCCAGCCCAGTCCGGAAGTTAATGATCCCAACTCAAGAGCTTTGGTGGAAGTCCTGAGTAATGATGATGGATGAGGCTCCTGCCCCACCAAGATGAGCTGGCCCATCTTTCTTGGGCAGGCATAGCCTCCCCGCCCATACGTGAGCACAGGAGCGACACATACTGCTGGCTTCCACACTCCGCGCTCCCTTGGACTGTTGGTTCAAGACTCCAAGAGGACTCCAAGGTCTATCAGCTCCAGAAGCAAAGAAGGGAATCTGGTCACATCCTCCTTGACCCTGAACTTTCTATCATGCTTCCCTGCTGCTTCTATTTGTAACTTTCCCTATCACCACTCTGAAATGCCCTGCGAGAACTTCTTTGTCATTCTGAACTCCATCTAGCCTGAAATCCTTCTCTAAGGCTTCGCTATCTTGGGGTATGCTATCAAACTCGGACACCCCTTCCACTGAGGTGCAATGCGGGACAGCAGGCTACACCAAGTTCACCTGTGGTTCCCTACCAAATGCCCAGCATTGACATTTATCCATCACGGGCCTGTCCCTGTATTTCTCCCCGTGAAGACCAGTGGCTGCAACCGTCCATGCCAGCCAAGAATGGCGCTGCCCCTAACAGTGTTCCTATTTGCCCATCAGCCCTAAATCCCTTCTGAGGATTAAACCATAACCTCTAATTGTAACTGTCCATTTTCCAAGGAAACACGGCAACTATTCCCACAGCCTCACTTCACAGGCAGGTGAAGAAATTCATGGGCTTTGGGACCAGACAGACCTAGGCTGAATCCCAGCTTAATTGAGCTTTATTCTGGGGCAGTTTCCTTACCACTGGCTTCCTTATCTGTAAATAGGAATAATAATTCCTACTTTATAAGATGTGTGTGAACATCAAATGAGTTACTCCCCCCTTTACTCCTCTGGAACGTCCCCTATCAGTCCCTCCAGCTGAATCCACCAGGTCTGCCCTGACCTGGTAGTATTTGGTAATTAACCTTACACACAGCTTAAAATCCCAAAGTGCAGGAATCATATTTCTGACAGATATACTCCTTCCTTCTTAAGAAAAGGAAAGTTTAGAAACTGCTGTAAATATATATTATGAGCAACTGAGCTAAAAGAAAATAATACCATTCCCTTTGTTAGCTACAGAATCTGTAGCCCCAGTAACACACACAGGGACAGATACACAGACACACCGACCTGCAGCAAAGATTACAAGTCTATCTCTCACCTGCCTTCTTTGATGCCCGCTAACCTTCTTCTTTATAATGGTCAAGGCTCCTAGAATCTTCAAAAGCCTCAAAGACCTCATCCCTCATTTTTGAGAAGAGGAAACAATAGGACCAGAGAGCTAAAGTGACTTGTCTAAAGTTGCACAGCTCGTTAAATGACAGCTAGGCAGCTGACAACTTTACCCTGGTGGTTAAGCGCAGCAAACTGAGTAACTCATGAAAAGCTTACTTAAGAGGAACCGCACTGCAAGGCTCATTTCACGGAGGCTTAGAAGGCTCAAAAGGTTCTGTGAACCTCGGCACATGTGTTTAACATGAAATATATGCCCGCATTTGCCAACAGGATGTCACAGATCTTTGTCTGGTGGATTTCTTAGAGCCCCTGCGTTCTAGACCAGTGCCATTAAATAGAGCTTTGTGGGAAAGGGAAATGCACACTTGCCAGCATGGCAGGCCTCCGCTATATATGTGCCTGTTGAGCATCTGAAATACGGTTAGTGCAACTGAGGAATTAAATGTTTAATTTTTTTTAATTTTATGTTTTATTGTGGTTAAACTACACGCGACATGAAATTTACCATCTTAACCATCTTTAAGTGCACAGCTCAGTGGCGTTAACTACATTCATAATGCTGTGCCACCACCACCACCGTCCGTCTCCATAGCTCTTTCCCTCTTGGAAAACTGAAACCCTGTACTCATTAAACAATAACTCTCCATTCCCCCCTGCCCCCAGCCCCTGACAACCACCATTCTACCTTCTGTCTCTCTGATTCTGACTACTCTAAGTATGAGTGGAATCACACAGTATTCGTGTGTCTGTGACTGACTTGTTTCACTTAGCATAATGTCCTCAAGGTTCATCCACATTGTAGCCTGTGTCAAAATTTCCGTCCTTTTCAAGGCTAAGTAATGTTTTTTACCACAGTTTGCTTACCATTCACCTGTCAGTGGACACTTGAGTTGCTTCCACATTTTAGCTATTGTGAATAATGCTGCTATGAACATGGATATACAAAGATCTCTTTAAGACGCTGTCTGCAATTCTTTGGGGTATGCACTCAGAAGTGGAATGGCTGGATCACGTGATAATTCTATTTTCAATTTTTGAGAAACCACCATCCTGTTTTCCACAGCAGCTGCACCATTTTACATTCCTACCAACTGTGCACAAAAGTTCCAATTTCTCCACATCCCCACCAATATTGTTATTTTCTGTTTTTTTGATAGTAGTCATCCTCATGGGTGTGAGGTGATATCTCATTATAGTTTTGATTTGCACTTCTCTAATGACTAATGATATCCAGCATCTTTCCTTGGGCTTTTGACCATTTGTATATCTTCTTTCGATGAATATTTTAATTTTATTTCACTGTAATCAACTTAAATAGCAGAATGTGGCTAAGGGTTTCCATACTGGACAGTGCAGCTCTAGAATACCATTAATTCTTGAGGTAATTTGGAGACCCAGTGCAGTAGGCATAGTGAGCTTTGAAGACAGATGGACCAATTCTAGTTCTAGTTCTTCAGATGTAGCCAGTCACTTAAAATTTTTATATCTCAATTTTCCCATGGTATAAAATAGGATTAATACTTCCTTCTTCTAAGAATGAAATGAAATGAATCAGCATACATGCAGCCACTGGTATAATCTTAGTGCCTGGGAGAGAATTGAAGCCAATGGACACGCCTTGCCTCAATTCCAGTATCCACTGATAGCTGACACATAGGATTTGGCTTTTTTAGACAGTCTCCCCAGATGGACTTCAGTCCTTTCCAGAGAAATGGACTTTCATTCTAGGAAACAAGGATCTTTAGCTCCCACCAAGAGGACCCACAAATGGAAGGGGCTGACTGAGATGAAATCTGGACTCTCACTTCTCTGGGATTCTGTGATGCTGACCCTGCCCAGATTCAGCCTTGACAAATAACCAACAGAAAAGTGAAGCCGTCAAACTTCTGGTTTTAGAATTCAGGCCCACCTCCTTTGTGAGGCCGTCAAAAACAGACCTTCAGAAGGGAGGATCTTTTAAGAAACCTCTAAGCTCTGAATGTGCTCTGGGGCTCAGGACCTTCCCGAGACTCTGTTTCTGTGGCCACGCCTTTCATCCCTCCATCCCAGCCACAGGCTTACCTGCCGCTGCCGCGGGCGGGGTCGGGGTGCTGGCCGGCGGGGGCTGCGAGGGGCTGCTGCCCTCAGTCACCAGGCATGGGGTGCTGCTGTCGTTCTCCCTCTTGACGAGCAGCTCAGCCGCGCTGGGCAGCGGGATGGGGTGGCTGATGCCCAATTCCTCCTCCTGGGCCTGCTGCCGTCTCAGGGCCACCTGGAAGCACAGGGCAGTGGGTCACCCTCCAGCACCCCAGAGTCACTCAGTACAGCTTTGCCAAAGCCACGGAAGCCCCACCCACCCCAGGGTGAGGCCTGAGAATCCCTCCTTGCTTTTTAAAGCTACCCAGGTAACTCTGAGATGCAGCCAAAGCAGAGAAATGGTTTCCAGCCAGAGTCCCTGGCCCACAGTAAAAGCACTCCTAAAATGTCCCTTAAACAAGTGAGTATGTAGAGCAGCGGGAAAGGCTGGATGAGAAGCTGCGGAGTCAGCAGAGGCATTCAGCGTGAGGAGAAGCCAGCACAGAGAGACTAGGAAGGAAGGAGAATGGGGTCACTCACTCTTTCCTTCCACAGATGTGTCAAAGGCTGCTGTACCGGAAACAGCGACCAGCAAGATACAGCAAGGTTAGATTAGTTCCCAAGGTACTCACTGTTTAAAAGGAGAAGCAGGAAACAGGCAAACATGCAACTGCAACTCCAGACAAAACGTGGTAAACACCACAGGACAGGCATACACAGATCCTCCCGAAGAAACTGGGGCAAAAACGGCTTTAAGTGTAAGTATAAGCTGCAGGTGGTACTGGAACAGGGCCTTGAAGAATAGGATGAGTGGGGCTTGACGGGCAAGGATGAAGGGGCAGAACGACCCGGAATAAGGGAGCAGGGTAGGCAGGGGCTGCTCAGGAAACCTTGCAGAGCCCTGTTCTCTGTGGGGGAGGGAGCACATACAGAAGTAATGGGGAAAAGGGGGCTGGCATACAGCGCTGAAGTCTCAGGAGAGAGAGGCTGGAGGTGGAGAGAAAGGGAGAGGACACGTGCCGTATTCCAGGCAGGAGGGAAGGAGATTCAAGTGGGGGCTGGAAAGGACGCAGCGTACCTAAGACACTCTTCATCGTCCCTCTTCTTTTAAATAACATTGTTTAAGGTTGAAAAAAGAGGTGTCAAGAAAATAAATTGTATCGTGGCTTACTACAAATAACAAAACTGGAGACTTTCTGTTGAAACTGACCATTGGTAATAATGAAATGAGAAAGGGAAGCACCTGTACCTCAGAGGCCCAAATACCGAAAGCGGAAAGTTGAAATCAAAACGGTAAACCAGAAACACAACTACAATGTACACATTGTCTTAGGAATACCGTAGTCCAAATTTAGAAAAATGATTAATTTGGAAGTAATTTTACTCATAACAAGAGGAGTCTTCAACTTTAAAAATATCTTTGAATAATCCATTAAGATTAAATAATTAAGCTTAATTCTTGAATTTTCTCTTATTAACCAAGAAGTTTAGGAACAGAATATTAAAGATTTGACCACAAATTTTTTAAAAGAATACCCATGAACTTGTGAAGTATGTCAATGCAAACTTAGACCCTGGTTTACACGGATCCCATGCATGCACAAAACATACAGGGTATTACATAGTCCATAAACTGAAAACACTTTTACAAAGACCTCTCAAGCGTTCTTAGGAAATGTTATTTAAATGGGGAAGGTGGGGCAATTGATTTAAAATGCAATTGTTTTAGAGTCAGATCTAAGATCAATTTCAAACTATTTTAGAATGACTAAAAATGCCTGTTACATGAATGTCAAAGGATTTCATTCAGCACAGCACAAGCCTTCTGGTGTGGAAAATAGTGACGTTTCATACTATAAAAGTAATCTTGAGTTGCTTTTGTTTTTAACAAAGCAAACATCCTCCTTCCAAGTTACTACGCCTATTAATACAGCTTATTCAAAATTAATGGCCCTACTTGGATATATATTTTTATTATTTTGAGGACAATTCCCCTCCCAAGCATACTCTCCATATTAAATATTAAAGCCAACAGGTAAATGTTCAGAAAACTTTTCTACCTACAAATACAATTTAAATGTTCATAAGGTTTTTTTTTTCAGTAAACTCACTGTGATGCATTTTAATGCTACACTCAGTGTATTCTTTTCATCCATTACAGATTAAGATAAAAGTCTATAAAGAAACTCAGTAAAACAACCTGTATATCCATGAGTGCGCTCGCAACCTGTGAAGCCAAAATATATCTAGTTTAAAACATTTCAAAATTGGATGTACATAAAAAGTAGAATCTCTAAGCATTTGTGCACTCCTGTTCAAGGATCCTAAATCATTTTCAATGGGGGCTATTTACCCATTCCTAACCGAAAGTAGCACATAGTAAGCATTTCTTTGGTATCTTTTCATTTTAAATAACCTGTTTTAAAAGGATGAAACAACTTTTAGCGGATAAGAATGTATATTATTCTCTTCTAAAAATCATTTTAGGATACCAACGACGTTAACCATTTCCGTGAAGGTGCTAAATTACTGCCCAGCTTAGGATGCTTTAAAAAACTAACACACTCCATGAACGGTAGACAAAACCTCAACCTCTTGCATCTACTCCTCTGCGTAGATTTTAAAAAATTCTTAGGTGTGTTTTAAAGCACACTCAAAGTAATTTGTACTTTAATAACTTCGGTGGAGACAGCAAATTTTAAAAGGCTAATGAAATTTCCGTAGTGCTCAAAATGGCTGAGACACTCAACCTGGATCCACCCGGGCGAATACGAAAAGTGCGCCAAGAGCACAACGAGGACCACGCCACCCTGGCGTCCGTTACAGCGCCTTTTCCAGAAAAACAAAGCCTCTCGACGCGTTTTGCGGATAAGCAGCAGCCAGCCGGGTCTCCGCTTCGCCCTAACCAGTAGCCAGAGCGGGCACCCTCCTTAATATAAGCGCACCACCCTGCTCGAGGCGGAGTCAGGGATCCCACTGAACCACGAGGGGGCAAACCCCCCAACTCTGCTCAGAGAGCGAGGTCAGAGATCCCGGGGGCCCCCGAAGGCGCAAACCCCGAAACTCTCTGCCAGAAGCGGGGTCGAAGATCCCGGGGAGCCTTCTCCAGCAGTGCGAACCCCGCAACTCTCAGCTCTGAAAGGGAAATCAGACATCCTGGGGATCCTCGGGACCCCCGGGACCGCCGAGACCCACGAGGGGGCGAGCCCCACAACTCCTATTGGAGGGAGGGGTCAAGGATCCGGAGCCGCCGGAGCAGAGTAAACCCCGCACCTCCCTGCTCCATCGGCCCTCCGAGAGCGGCGTCGGCGCGTGGCTGGGAGCCCGGGCCCCGAGCGCGCCGCGGCTGTCGGGAAGCACCAACGAACCCGCGCCCCGCATGGCGCCCGCCTGGTCCGAGGGGCTTTACCCAAAAAGTTAAGGGCTGAACCCCGGTTCCGGGGCGCCCGCACTCACCTGCGCGGCCATCACGCGCTGTCTCTCTGCGATCAGGTTGCATTTCTTGCACTGGCATTCCCGCCACATGCAGAAGCGTTTGTGGCCCTTGAGCGCCGACGCGTAGCCGTGGTTCCTGCACCGCGCGCACTTGGGCAGCCGCGGGGACTTCTTGCTCGCGGCGGCGTCCATGCCCGACGCCCCCGAGCCTGAGCCGCCGCTACCCCCGACGCCCGCGCCGCCCGTGGTCCCGAGCAGCGCCCCGGCCGATTTGCCGAAGCCCCCGGCCTTGCCCTGCGGTGGTGACCCAGGGGCGTGCGGGGCCTCCGACGGTGGCGAAGCCTTGCTGTATGCGTCGTCGTTGGGCATGGTGCCCCAAGGAGATGCGCAGGGACTCTCCGGTGGCTGCAAGGGAAGCACCCAGCCGACGGCAAGGCTCCCGAAAAGGAGGCGCAGGAGGCGTACGCGCTGCAGCCGGAGGTGCAGCTGGAATGGCGAGGTCGGGACTCGCAACGCCCAGAGTGGTGGGGGGTTGTGCCCGTTGTTTTTTTTTTCCTTTTTGCGCGCGCGCGGCGCAGAACTTTTGGATACTTTTCAGAACGTTCCCGGGATTGCCTGCGCGGGAGAAGGCGCGAGGAAGCGCGGCCACGCCCACCGCCCCCCAATTCTAGGCACCGAGCTCCCGCTGCGTGCAAGCTTGCACAGGCTGCAAACACCGAGGGCATTGCTGCAGAGCCACTGCAAACGCACACCCGGAGCAGAGGTGCTCGGGGATTGTGTGATCCCTGTACGCTCAGCGTGCCCAGGCCGGGCTGCCCTAGCACGCTGCACGGAGGAAGCTGGGCTTCCCAGCTCAAGAAGGTTGCTGTGCATCTTAGTCGTGAAGGCTGCATGGAGGAGGGGCAGACCACCCTGTGGGATCCTCCAGCTCCCTTCCCCCCAGTGACGCCATTTTCCAAGCTCGACAGGGCAGACTTTGAAAGAAGCCAGCCAGAAAGTGGTTTCTTTCTCATTTAAGAGAATTAAGTATGAGGTGGAAGGCCTGAGAAAAGTCTCTGCGCTTCTAACAGCAAATAAGCTCCTCAGTGTGAGGGGGTTAAGCGCGCCCCACATTGGGCCTTTCTGTTCTCCAGTTACCTCTTCCTGCACCTGTGCTCGTTTGCTCACAAGATTGCCACCCGCTGGCTCCAGATAACTTTCAAATCTGGAGTTCCAGTCCTTCTTGCTTCTTACTTCAGGGGCATGCAGCTTCTTGCCTTTGAAGCAACTTCGCTTAGGACCTGCAGGCACTGGAAACTCGGTCTTCTAAAAACCTCTGTGGGGGTGGGGGTGGGATGCAGACTTTTATCAGAATTCATTCCATACTTAAGATCTGTGGGGGGTTTTTTTGTTGTTTTTTTTTTGTGGTACGCGGGCCTCTCACTGTTGTGGCCTCTCCCGTTGCGGAGCACAGGCTCCGGACGCGCAGGCTCAGCGGCCACGGCTCACGGGCCCAGCCGCTCCGCGGCATGTGGGGTCTTCCCGGACCGGAGCACGAACCCGTCCGTGTCCCCTGCATCGGCAGGCGGACTCTCAACCACTGCGCCACCAGGGAAGCCCAAGATCTGTGCATTTTAATTATTCCTCCAAAAACCCAAATCCTCTTACAGCCTTCCCTGCACCTCTACCCCCAACCATGTTTGTCTTCTGTCTTTGCACTTGCACGGCCAATCCAGCCCTAAGGCCTGCTGATCATTTCTTCCTACACACCCAAGTGTGCCTCTAAGGCCAACCCTTCTCACATCTGAATCTCTGCAGTAGCGTCCAGCTGGTCTCACTGATTCTTAGTCTTCCAGTATATTCCATATTCCATGCACACAGCAGCTGGCGCCCTGCAGTGCCTTGGTATTGTTTTCCATGTGAAAAACAAAAGTTAAAGACCTGAGGGTGCATCTTAAAAGGACTTTGAATGACCTCCCTCTGCATTTCTCAGCCTCATATAGTTATCTACTAGCTTGGAGGAGCTCTTTGTTGACCTTTTACATACCTCTTTGCTCGATGCCACGTCCCTAACCTTGCAATGGCCACTGTCCAGCCAAGGGGGCTGCCCTCACATCTCTCCCTCACTCTCCTTGCTTTTCCCCAGTGTACTCTGGTTCCAAATTCTTGGCCCCAACCCTAGGGGTTAAGTCCCCAAAGGATCCTGGCCACCCCACTCGGCTTCTCAGCAAAATGGTTGCCCATTGACCCTCTCTTTCAGCAGATTAGCATCTTCAGCACTGAAAGTCTTCTAACCTGCCTTTCCCATTCTTATTCTGAGGCCCCTCTCACAGGCTCTTTCCCTCAGCCTGGATTTTCTCCATTTGTGTTCTCAGTCTGAAAATTATTTACTAAAGAAGCTTCTAGCTTTTCACGGTACCTCATATCCTACCCATCAAGCCAGCGAAGCTTTACCTAGGACAGAGGCCAGGGTGCAACGATTCATCTCCATCTGGAGCTTGTTAAATGAGAACCACTATTTTGTTCAGGAATGTCCATAAGACTTTCATGAAAACACACATACCAATCAATTGCTGTTATCTACTACTGACTTTTCTTTTTCCATATTTACATTTTAATACATTAACTAAATCTGCATCATTCCCAAAGCCAAGTCCAGTTTCAGAGAATGAAGTCAATGCCAGAAGCAGCAGCTGTCAAATCCCAAATTACAGGGGAACACGTGTTTCTTATGAGCATCCCCTCACTAGAATCTGTGATGGAGGGACTTAAGCCTACAGAAAATGTGAGGCTAGGAAACTGTGTGACCAAGATATCAAAACATAAAATGTTGTAATGAAGTTAATAGCCTAACCAAGTTTTTATTCACAAACCACAGAGGAAGTACCAGACACGAGACAATCAAAAAGGAAAGTGGGAAGACCTCCAGGGTGAACAGAGTGGTCCCGGATATTTTGAGTAGTTTGGCTCTGTTGTCTCCTTTCTTCCCTCCCTTCTTTCCAAAACAAAGCTATGAAGGATGATGATGCAGATCTGTATTTACTGAGGGAGAAAGATGTTCAGTGCATACTGATAAGGGAGGAGGAAGGGAGTCCAGTTCTAGAACACAGCGGGGTTAGGCAAAGACTTCTTCGATATGACACCAAAAGCACAAGCGATGAAAGAAAAAAATTGATAAACTGACTTCATCAAAATTCAAAACCTTTGTGCTTCTAAAGACACCATTAAGAAAGTGAAAATACAAGACATATATCTGATAAAGGATTTTTATCTGAATACATAAAGAACTTTTGTGATACAATAATAAAAAGACAAATAACCCAATTGAAAAATGGGCAAATTTTTGAATGGTCGTGCACCAAAGAAAACGTTCGAATGGCCAGAAAGCACATGGAAAGATGCTTGATATCATTAGTCATCAGGAAAATGCAAATCAAAACAATTAGATATCACTTCACACCCACTAGGATGGCTATACTCAAAAACAAAGACAGTAGCAAGTATTGGCTAGGATGTGCAAAAACTAGAATTCTCATGTATTGGTGGTAGGAACGCAAAATGGCACAGCCATTTTGGAAAACTTTACCATCTGACCAAACAATTTCATTCCTAGATACCTACCACAGAGAAATGAAAACTTTATGTCCACACGAAGACTTGTATGCGAATGTCATAGCAGCATTTTCCATTTGAAACAATGCAAATGTCCACTAATGGTTGAATGAATAAACAAAAATGGTATATTCATAAAATGGAGTATTATTCAGTCATTAAAGGGATGATGTACTGACACATGCTACAGTAAGGATGAAACTTGAAAACATTATACTAAGTAAAAGAAGCCAGATTCTTTCCTATGTTCCCATTCATATGAAATGTTCAGAATAGGCAAATTAATATAGAGAGAAAACAGCAGTTGCCAGGGTTGGGGTGGGAATAGAGAGTAAGTACAAACGTGCTTAAGGGATCTTTGGAAGGGGTGATGCAATGGTCTAAAATTGGATCATGGTGATGGTTGCAAAACGCTGTAAATTTACTAAAATTATTGGTATGATTAAAACAAGAGAATGTTATAGTTTATATATTATACCTCAATTAAGCTATTTAAAATTTTGAACTAAAAGAAAAAAAAACTCAGGATGTACAACGTGGTTCCATTTCTGAAATAGGAACTAATGTGTATTAATATCTGCTTGAGTAGGTTATTTAATTCTCTATGAGTTACAGGATTATGGGTGATCTTCTCCTTATACTTTTTTTTTTTTTTGCGGTACGCGGGCCTCTCACTGTTGTGGCCTCTCCCGCTGCGGAGCACAGACTCCGGACGCGCAGGCTCAGCGGCCATGGCTCACAGGCCCAGCCGCTCCGCGGCATGTGGGATCTTCCCGGACCGGGGCACGAACCCGTGTCCCCTGCATCGGCAGGCGGACTCTCAACCACTGCGCCACCAGGGAAGCCCTTCTCCTTATACTTTGTATGTGTGTTTGGGAGCAGGCCCATGTTCTGGTGTCCTCCCTCCTGTTTCGTCCCCTGTAGCCGGGTGGTAAGAAATGACATCTGAGTTTGGGCCTAGCAGACTCAGTGTCAGCCCTGTGATCAACCCCAGACCACCAGCATTCTTGGCATTAGAATTGGAACCCAAGCTGGTTTCACAACAAATTATTATGTGTTTTGCTTTCCAGTTACCATAGCTCTGTGGTGCATATATACTTTGTTTATTATCTGAGTTTTTAAAAACACTTAGGCATTACTGTCACCAGAAATAAAGAATACATTATTTTCTTGGTGAGGCAGTATAGCACCATAATTAAATGCCTGGCTTTGAATGCCAGCCATGTGATCTTAGGCAATTTTCTTAACCTCTCTGTGACTCAGTTCATCTGTAAAAGGAGGGTAATAATAATAACCACCTCAAAGGATTGTTGGGAAAACTAACTTAGTTAATACTCATGATGTGCTTAGAAAAGTATCTAGCACACAGTAGTATGTATGCCATTTTCATTATTTACATATTTGAAATTTTAAGAGTAGTGAGAAAGCAGGGTACATCTACATATAACCTTCCACCTACTAGAATACTAGAATAACTTACAGGGAGGGAGGCCTATACTAGAAAACACCAAGGATAAATTTCATCTAGTTTGCATTTTGTCCATGCAAAGCAGTTTTTGCCCCAGTTCTTGGTACAACAGGTCACGGGGAAAATTCCCTGTGGGGCTTCTAACTGTATATACGAAGCGAGACACTATAGAGTCAAAATATTTAGCTCAGGTGCCTGCCAAGTGTGCAGCCCGAGAGTCAGCTGGCCTGGATGAATGATCTGCCCCTGCTCCCGGGGGGGCTGGTCTGAACAGCAGGAATCAGGGAGAAGTGAGACTCGACTCGTACGGCCTGAAGCATTTCATGATAGGAGGACCCTCAGTGAGAGGGAAGACTGAACAGGACTTGAGTAGGCACAAAGGAGAAAATAAGACATTCTAAGTTGTGGGAACAAAGGATGGATGACGGGGGTATGGGGAGTGAGGTTGTGAGTTGGGGGAGAGGGCACAGACATGCCAGTCTGGAACAGAGGAGTCAAGCTGGAGCCCAGTGGGAGATAAGGTTGGAAAGATAGCATGGCACCTTGCCTGCCAGTGAGGAATTTGGCTTCTATCCTATAGGCAAATGGAGAATGATGGAGGCTTTTGTCCTTGAGGTGCTGGAAGAATGAAAGTGGCAGGCGTGCCAATCACTGTGGGACTTGAACAAGCCGCTTAAGGTCTCTGAGCCTTCCATCTTTGTGAGGAGCTGACAATACCACAGGGATCAGAGCTGTTTGTAAGATGCCTAGAACCATGCCTGCCACACAGAAAATACTGGATCATTGTTCGCAGCTGATTCTAACTACAGTTTGGATAGGCAGAGAGGGAGAAATCTGAAAGCAGATAATGCTGGCAGGGACCTAGCTGTTCAGGAAGATGGCTGTGCCTGAGGCTGCGGCAGTGAAACCTCATTACAAGACAATCTTCCTCTACACATTCCAGTTCCCACCAACATCCACACAGACAGACGAAGGCAGTCAGCATCCTGGAAAGTGTGGTATAAAGGAATGCAGGCCTCACAGTCAGGCTGCCTGTATAGAGTCCTAGCTTGGTCACTTACCAGCTGTGTGCCGTGGGCAAGTCACTTACCCTCTCTGTGCCTCCCTTTCTTCATCTGGAAATTGCAAATAACCTGAGAAGTGTTGTAAAGATGCAATGATTGATATACGTAAAGGGCTTAGGTGAGTGCCTGCAAGAGAATAAGCACCATCTAAGAGTGAACTATTGT